CGCATCGTTGTCCTTTCCGCCCCCCCCTCCCCCTCCCCCGATTAATTATGCGCTCTGAAGGACTCTACATCGACTAATGCAGTTGCCTGCGGCACGAATCGCGTCACGGTGACACGGCTTCATTAACTTCCACGGGCAAATTATTCTGAGAGTCGATCGCGAGATTTCGCTTGATGTCGTCACCGTGACGCGAGCAAGATTTCGCCTTTCGCGTCCAGTGCTGCCTATTAGAAGCGTACTTACGAGGGGTGGTTGATCATCGTGCGGTAGCTTGCCGTCCAGGCAAAAGTAACACTTGTCTAACGGCTTCCAGTCTTCTGGCGGCGGGCTGGTGCGTCGAGTTCCAATGAAAAACGGCGCTACCGTGTTCCTGCCGGTTGCATCAACCTCCCGACACGGCAACCCTGACCTGGTCCCATCCGTATCCGACGCAGGTGTCGTCGATATCGTTGGGCCGCCTCCAGAACTCGGCGCCTCTTGCAGCTCCTCCTCCTTTTTCACTCTCAGCAAGCCCTGCGTCACCGGTGTCCGCTCCAACGCGACTTCCTCCGTCCGTTCCTGCAACAAAACGTTCCCCACTCTCAAACGCTGAACGCTGATAAAGAGGCGAGAGAAGAAGGAGAAAGGTGTAAGACAGGAGTAAGTTCGACGCAACGAACCTTGGTCCCTTCCGTGTCGGTAGCGTTGGCAGTCGGATAATCCCGAGTTCTTCCTCCCTCCTTTTCCCTTCTGAGAGGACTGACGGGCCTGTCCGCATCCTCGTCGAGTTTCAGTCGCTTCTCCGCCTCGATCAGCCCCCGACCATCTTCCTCTTCCTCGTTCTCGTCGTCGTCCTCTCTGTCGTCGGTGGTCTCTCCGTCGTTTTGCCGGCGTTTGCGTCGTCGCCTGGTCGGAATCGTGGTGGTTCCGGTGGTCATAGCAGCAGCCGTGGTGCTCGGCGACGCGCCGCTCGTTCCCGTTGCCGTGGTCGTGGTTGTCGAGCTCGTGGCCGCCCTCGCCACCGTAGCCGGCGTGGACGCGTCCGCGGTCTTCGATTCCTCTCGAACCACACCGTTCGCGAACTCGTCCTCGCCGACCTCGACCTTTATCTCGTCCGGCCTGAGTCGACGTAACTCCTCTTGCTGATAATGGCGGTGGTGTTCTTGAACCGAGGATTGGAGATGTTGATGGTTGTGCAGGTGGTGATGCCTTTGCAGGCTTTCCTGCTTCGCGAGACCCGTGGTGGTCGTGGTGGCCG